GTAGTAGCAGTAGTAGTAGTTGTTGTTGTTGCTGAAGAAGAAGAAGTAGTAGTAGTAGTAGTAGCAGTAGTAGTAGTTGTTGTTGTTGCTGTTGCTGAAGAAGAAGAAGTAGTAGTAGTAGTAGTAGTAGCAGCAGCAGCAGTAGTAGTAGTAGGAGTAGTAGGAGAAGTAGCAGTAGTAGCAGTAGCAGTAGCAGTAGCAGCAGCAGCAGCAGGAGCAGGAGCAGGAGCAGTAGCAGTAGCAGCAGCAGCAGCAGCAGCAGTCATCGTTGTAGTTGTTGTAGCAGCTGCAGGAATAACAACAGTAACGGTAGTGGGTGTTAGCAGTGCTCTCATTATGAATTTCACATTTGGGCCTTGATTGCATGGTCGACGAAGATCTTGGTGTCAGCCTGGGGTCCCAGGCTTTCCTCCACCTCAACAGATTAGGACTTTAGGGCATAGGGTTTACGATAGTGGGATTAGGATTTGGCATGTTGGTAATGGGGCGCATGCATACTGGATTGATTTTGAGCCCTAACGACATCCCAAGAATACTTTTCAGGAATCTCTCTGAGAAACGAAGAATGGGTGATGACTTGTTTTGCATCCAAATATGTCAGCAAGCAATTGCCACCATTACGATCTCGAGCACAGCATAACCTTGACATCCACTAGCTTTGCTTCAGAAGGACCAAGAGGCCAGGCCTGCTGCGCAACGCCTGACAACTCCTGGCAGTCCGCTTGCTTAGGATCAGCGAATCGGAACTACATGCCTACGCCAAGTTGAGCTTCTGAAGCCAAGAAAACTCATCTGCATGGAACATGACCGATCAAAAAAGGAATCTACTGTGCGCCGTACGGAGCATGGTTGTGCAGAGACACCAGCTTGGCAAAAAAAAGCCGCGCAGTCAGGATGCCCCGGCAATCGCATCATGGAGTTGCAAGCAGCATCTGACACTCCAGTGTCTACAAGTGGGTGTTGCGAGGATATCTTCCAGATACTCACTGAGCGAAATTAGGACTCAAGCCACAATCAAAAAGATCACCGAGACCCTGTGCTCCTGCAACAGCCCGGCCAGTGCGCTATTGGGCGGCTTGCCGGTCCGAGCTTTGTCCTGCTGCTTTAAGATCCACTTAGGAACACAAGATCAACAGGCGAACACAACAGAGGAACGGGGCCGCTAAGCCTACTCGGTCCACCCATGAGCGCTGCCCTCATCGGACCCCCAGCATCCCAAAACATCTTGCTTCCGAGAAGAGCGCGAGCAACTGCTCAAGACTGACTCAAGACCTCTAAAAATCATACCAAACCCTTTGACAACGTGGTAGCACATGAAACTCCACTTCAAGTCCAGCCCCCGGAACCCATCAAAAGCAGGAAGGGTCAAAACATGGAGTCCTTCTGACTCAGATGGGTGTGAACTGCCCCGGCAAGGGCACCACACTGAGTGTGGCCCAAGACAAGGATCCTAGGCTCACCGACGTGGGGGAGGATTTCCATTTGTGGCTCTGCATTACCTAGGCTGCAGATATCCAAACGCGCATGTTTGGCAGGCGCCAGATCCCAGCGCATGCGACACTTACTCACAATGATGGCAGGCAGAGGAAGTCGCAAAGCTTGGAAATCTCAGTCCTACACCCTAATCCACAACGAGTGCAACCGTGGATCAATTTTGAGCCCAGCTTGGAGGCACAGAACTCCAGGCTGCCGACCATACTACCCTTCGCACAAAAAAGACTGCAATGGGACTTTGCAGACGCATTTAAGGATGCTCTGGCAAGCCTGATTGCTTTGCAGCACGTTGTGAGGTTCGGAGGCAGCCTTCCTTTAGCATGAAAAAACCCAGCTCCCTCCCACCGTCATCCCAAGCTGGGTGATGCGCATAGCCAATTGCGGCCAAAATCCCTCGGGAAAATGCTCTTCTGAACTCGAAACGAGAGTGCGGGCGTCACAACTTTACTGAAACAAGTCTGTATAACGTGCCAATGTTTCCTCAGAGATCGTTTGACAAATCTCTGGTTAATTGAGGATGAGAAGACCTGTCGAAAGAAGAACTTTCGAGTTGTGCGAGCTGGCTTCAACTCCTGATTCTGCAGTCTGTGAACGGTCTTTTGAATGAGTCGGGCTGCATCTTGGTGGTTGAAGCCTTGTAACTGCAATTTGGTCAAGAAGAAACGTAGATGTTTCTCCATTGAAGCTGGATTGCGTCTGTTGTGTCTGTGAATGCGCTGACTCTCTCCCACAATCAGTGCATCAAAAACGCTTTCTGGATGGCAGGACACTCGTGGGATATACGGGTAGGCATTTTTTGTCTTGCGGCATGCGCATGTAAAACCCTGACATGCTGTTAACTAGCAAGTGACTGGATGGTATGATGCAACTTGAGTGCTTCTATCAACCTGTCACCTTGCAGCATTTATGCTTCAAGAGGAAGCCTGAACGAGCCACAACGTGGCGAAACGCGTAGCTTAGAGCTCCTTGAACAAAAGTGTTCTGCTTTGTGCGCCCCAAGCTTGAGTTGGAGCTTCTCACACATGAGTTTGTACAGCGTGACTGACAAGATCATCAACTCCCCAGGTTAAGTTTGGGAATCTTTGCAAGCTGCCGTTGGCAAAATGTTGCAGTGTCAACTACGGGGACTGCATGGGCTCGCACTCGCTGCAACTTCCCCTTGAGGAGCTCTACGACCACTTACTGTAGCTCATCATGCTGAGGAAGGGTAGCGCCAAGCAAAGAAGGTCCTCGCCGCCTACCTGAAGAGTGGCTGCCAATACTTTACGATCCAGATATTGAGCCGCGCTACCCGGCTGGCACTTAGGTCAATAGGAGCTCCTCCAGAGCAAGTGCCGCTTGCATAAAGATCCTTGGATGTTGACTATCAGGTCAGGTTGTCCCAGCCTCTGCATGGGTGCAGGTGTTACCGGCGTTCCGGAGCACAAAGAGGTCCCCGGGCATGGCATCGAAGATGGTCTCCTGAGGAACGATGCTCAAGCGCAAAGATTACGCGTTGTCCCTTCGGCGATCAAGGTGGTTGCAGCGGATAGCCTGACGGAAATGTCCTTTTCCTGCGTAGACTGAGCTGTGCTTAAACACCCTGCGCAGCTCAGGATTTCAGGTAAGCTTCCAATGGTGCGCGAGAATCCGCACAGCCCATCACGGCGGTATGAGGAGCCTGGCTAGCAAGGGTGCACTCAGCGAAGAATTCTCAAGCTCGAAGAATCCAGAGGACAGGACATGTTGCTGCGATGCTGCCTGGCCGTGGTTCACCAAGGCCTCGCGCATGCTGGCAGTGGCGCTGCGGGCCTCCACATGCTGTTCGTCGCAAACAGATGTTGAGCTTATGCAGGGGACAGTCCCCTTATCTGCAGACCCAAGGACACTGTTGGTTATCCCATTCAAATGCACGCCCCAATTTACATTCCTATGCTGGCAACATCGCGCCAGAGGAGTGCCAACGGCAAATCGCTCGTTGCCCTCTGCCAGCAGCCTTCAGGGTGGGGGGTTTCAAGTTTGCAGGTTCAGCCTCTGCGGGTAGACAGCTTACGAGGACGGAAGCAGATACTACTTGAAGACAAAGTCGCAAACTCTGTGCTCTGTAAACAAACAGGGTACGGCTTAGTTTCGCAATCTGTTGGTGACCCTGGGTATGGTGGAAGAGACAACAAGTGTGTGAGAGATTGAAAATTCAAATCAACAACGGCTGCAGTTAGGGACAAAGACCGAAGTACTGAGAGCGTCAGGGGATAAACTAGGCAATCTTAACACCGATGCCTGAGCAATAGCTTTCAACGCTTCAGGTACAAAACCGAACATGGAAGGAGAGAACCGAAACTTCAATGACCTACCTACCTCAACCCAACCTATTCTCGGGTACTGCGCAAGACAGTCTCAGCATGCTCGGGCACTTGTTTCAACAAGCTTGGTGCCTAAGTCTTGAGACAAGCCCAAATCTAAAGACCAAGACATAAGCCTGCAGCCATCCGGCCTCAGGGCGTCCTTGGCGCACACCGTACCATCAGCAGCCGTACGCACGCCATGGGAACCGCGTGCCGCCAGGTGGCTGCCATTCCTAGCATGACTGCTGGGAGTCTGTCGGGATGCCGGAAGGTCTGGTTGCAAAAGAGTAAAGTTTCTGCAAGGTAAATACAGACAACTGGAGGCTCGCCAGACTCGACAGCTTTTACAAAGCAACCCTCACGCACTACAAACAAAAGAAATCCAAACTAAACAAAAAACAAGCACTGCATCTGCAAACCCTAGACTGATGAATACATAGGCCCCAAACTCCAGAGAGGTGCTGACGTGTGATGGCCAAGCTTCACGCCCGTGACGGAGGGAGGCAAGGCCACCTATTTTCCCAATGTGACTCATCAAGAGTAGTTGGTCGTACATGCTCAAAGTCTGCAGGCTGTTTGTACTATGCTCTGTTGAACTTTCTCAGCAGACCCTGCATGCTGAGACAGTAGCGCATGCCTCGACACACCGCTTGCAGGCGGTGCTTGTGCCAAATCCGAAGCCCATTCTGGAGCTCAAGCCCCCTGCCTTGGAGGTCAGCAGCTCTGACTGGTCGGGGGAGCGGCCCAAGAACTCCACCCGGCCGGTGCTCAAGTTGTAGATGCCTTCTCTCTGGAGCTTTTGAGAGAGCTTGCAGATACGGGCCAGTCACAGATCGTAATCTGGCTCCTTCCACCCACCTAGAAACGGAGAAGACTGCAACGCTTTTGGGGGTTCACGCGGCTACCGGAGCTTGTGTGGCGAGCGATGGAGCACAACATGCTGTGAAAGGCTGGAAAAGGTCCACAAATGCTGCAACTGCAGCCGAACAGTCGCTCCAGTTGGTGCATGAGATGCAGAAGTATTTGCAAATTTAGCAGTGACGTTCCATCCTTCTCAGCTGATGCTCTTTTCAAAGCAATACATTGGCAAGTCTTGCTCTGTGCGCATCTCAGCTGCCGCCCTGGATTTCCAGCTGCTCATTCAGCACCCGCTCCCGGATGATGTGGCTGTACCTCATGCTAGTGGCTGCCCGCTGCCTACGGCAGGCGAAACAACCTAAATTCTCTTGAAACCTGAGTCGCCGAGGGACTTGAGAAGGAAATTGATGGTGTGAAAAACGTTCACCCGCACAGCATGGCAAGCCACGTCCTCTGCAGGTCATTCGACGAAAGGCGGCCACTAGCAGTAGTAGTAGTAGTAGTAGTAGTAGCAGTAGTAGCAGCAGTGCTGCTAGATGTCACGAAGCTCTGCTGCTGATCGGACATCTGTTCAATCCGCCATCTCCCCGTGCGACCTTTAGACAGTTTGCCGAACTGAGCGCCTGAGGGCGACATTAACTGTTTTCTTTTGAGAAAGAACTTATAACTACCCCGCCCCCACCCCTCCCCGGCGAGTTATAAGGTCAGGGAAGAGGGTTGCTTACGGGATGCCCTCGGCTTGTACATAACTAGCCCTCTCAACCCATCTTCACATCATCAAACCTAGTGCAGAAAGGCCTCCTCCCACGATGACGACGACTACTACTACGACACGGATGCGTCTGGGGCTGTGAATATTTTCTTACATCTGTCCCTTCGGCTCTGGCAAAATCGTCAACCCTCTCCGCATTTTTGCTTTGGGTTTTTATAATGTGCAAGACTATTTTGTTTAGCGTTACGGAGCGCTTACACACTGCCCGGCCTTCGATCTTTCAGGTCAAGAGAAGAGGCTCTCTACATCGGGAAAAGTAGTTTCTTATAAATTGTGAATTTACAGCCTATCTTCAAACCAAAAAGGCTTGTTGAAGAAGAATTCAGTTTCCTCGCGCCTGAAACACAAATGTTCTTCTGGTTTAGGCGTTGATGCTTTGGTCACCGGTTGCTCTCGGAACACGAATGTTACTCTGGTTCCCTCCGCCTTCTTCTCTGTTGGTCAGGAAAGATTCAGGATCTGGGAGTGGCAGCGAATTGCACTTGGGGACTTACAGCTTCCCACCCTGGAACGCAGCCCCGCTCCTTGAGGCAGGTTCAACGGCTCTGAAAAGAGCTTCCGAACTCCCTCACTAAAGGCTGATGGACTAAGCCCAGCCAAGCCCCTCCATGAATGCTGGAACAGGCATGCAACAAACACGTCTGAAGTGAGGCTTGCCTCCGTTACCCCCTCGACCAGAAAACCCCACGTGTTAACTACATGTCATGACCTGTTCGAGTGCTCCACGCCCCGCCAGCCGAGGCGGGCGCGCGATAGCGTTTACAACTAGGCATTGGGCACAGATGCGCTAGGAACCCCGATTGCTCAAGAATGGACTCATGGACGTTGCGTATTGCATGGCGTGTACATCGGGTCGCAGGGGCATCATCTCTTTCTGCGTAATTCCAGGAATATTCCACGGCCGGATACGCACATGTGTCATGGTAGTACGTCTACTACCATCACCACCACCTTAACCTGATTCCGACTCCTCCTCCTCCTCATCCTCCTCTCCTGCTGCTGCTACAAGTACTACTAGTGTTACTTCTACTTCTCCTCCTCCAAATACTACACTCTTTCCCCAGCGCTAGAGATCAAGGTCCCCATGGCGAGCGGCGTCTCTCAGCGCCCTTTGGGCCTGGGAACGATTGAATCTGATACTCGGAAAGTGCGAAAAAAGCTGCCGCCAAGAATGGCCAAGCGCTGCTTCCCATGATTGCACCGCGGTGCCAAGCATCGCCACCAGCCCCTACGTGTGCTCTGGTGAAGTTTTCAATGCAGGGAGTTGGTATTGGGGGGCCAACTACTTCTACTCCTACTCCTACTCCTACTTCTGCTCCTACTACTCCTACTCCTACTCCTACTCCTACTCCTGCTCCTGCTCCTGCTCCTGCTCCTGCTCCTACTCCTACTATTCCTACAACTCCTACTACTACTGCTGCTGCTACTACAACGGCGGCGACAGCGACGACGGACCACTAGGAACACGACACGACCTGAGAGGGAACCCGCGAACGTCACAAGGCCGCTTCGTCCTCAGGGTCTGTGTTGGCGCCCATGTCCGCAGCAGCCTGCTCCGCCACGGAAGCTAGATCCTCCAAAACCATCAGGCCCTAGTGGGCGTTGTTCAGCTAGGAAATGAACTCATGAAGACAGCAGAGATGCAGAGGATAAACGAAGCTTCAGGATGATCATAAGCCATTAAGAAAGTGGCATGCAGGCGGTTGACTCCAAACCTTACAGACCTGGCTGGTCAGTCTTTGATAACAGTGGGTGCAGGCATGGTACCGCTCGAACGGCATTTGGCATTGACAATGGGCATGTGGATTTAAGCACCATGCTCGAGGGGTGCGGAAGGCTTCTTATTTATACACTGCCTCCGCACAAGATCTCAAATTGCTGTCCTGAAGGAGGCCTTCCAGCGCTGAGGAGACTCCAGTGCTTTTTGCCTGCGTAAAGTCCACGCTCAAGAAACGCTAATTAAATGTCGATCTTCTGCCCCAGCAAGCGGAATCTCTAAAACCACAGTTTCGACCCAAGCATGTTGTCTAGATGGGCTTCCTCAGAGGACTCTTCTCGGAGCAGATCTGATAACCTTCAAAGGAACGACCACAACCATGAACACATAAACTGATCAATCCATCTGTGCATCATCTTGTACTTCCACGGAAAGCAGCGTGGCAGCAGCAATCAATTGAAAAGCCAGACTCCAAACAACATGCATAACTCACTGAGCTAAAAAAAACAGATGGGCCTTCAGGGAGTTGAAATATGCCTGGGTCGCGCCGTAAACCGCGCCACACTTGGTGTGTCCCAGCACAAAAATCCTTGGCTCACTCAGCTTAGCAGCGCACAGAATTTAAGACAAGCCTGACTCGAAGTTCTCTCGTGGAATTTGACTCGATGGTCTTCCTGATTTGCCAGTGTTCCAGTGCTGCAGACTCCACGTAGCGCAAGAAACCCTAGCTTTCAGATCTCCGCCGTACACTGCTTGACGGCTTCAAGCACCTAACAAGAACCTGAAAGAATAGCCAAGGATCAGCCGAGTCCCCAGCATACCACTGCAGAACTCCAGGCTTCCGACCATGCTGCCCTTCCCACTTTTCTGAATCCAAGATTTCGTCTGTTAAATGCCAAGGCTTTGTGAACTAAGAGCGTAGGAAGTCCTAGAAGCACAAGCCTACAGTCTGGCTGTATGTGGCACCAACCAGATGGGATAAAGCTGTGGGCATCCTTCTCACAAGGCTGGTCCAGAATATCGCTCAGAAACCTTTCAATGACCTACAAATGAATTGAAGCTGCAATGACTGACAAGCTGCCTCTTGTATGATTCACAGTTGCTGAAGTGGGCCAGAGCAATAAGCCCCACATGATCCGCAAGCATTACCTGTATAAGGCCCATGCACTCCTTGTATATTCGCCTCCCGGAAAAGCCAGCCTCCGCATGGGTGCAAGTGTTGCCCGCATTGCGCAGGGCGAAAATGTCTCCGGGCATTGCGTCAAAGATGGTCTCCTCAGCAATGATTCTGCAAGCGCATCTGGGTATCTGAACGGTGTTGAACGATGTTAGCAGGGCTCGCGGAAGTCAATGGTGGTTCATGCGCGTCAACGAAGTCATCTCCCCAAAACAGTTGCAAGATACCAATGCTGATGTCTGCTTTACGGGTATGTCCTTAGGAATTTCATCCGGGATGTACTGTACTAGCCCTGAAGCTCAATGCTTTTGCAGATGGTAGCCCCTCCGCGGCACATGAGGTCAAGTCACTAAGGGGGCTCTCGAGTCTGCGCAGCCGATAATGGCGGAGTGCGGCGACTGGCCCTAGGCAAAGCGCTTATTCTTGAGGTCGACCTTACAGTGAACCTTTCCCCTTGTATTGCATAGCAAAAAAACAAGGCCTAAAATCCTGGAAAAGCATTTTACAAAGGGAAACGGAGCCAAATCAACCCTGCCTAAGGATGAACTGGCAGGTTCTGAAGTTATTGGGCGGTTCATTTCCGGGGTCTTTGAACAAATCTACATTTTATGTGTAGGAGGCTTTGATGGAATTTGGGATCTTCCTGATTTCTTGGGCTTTATTGTCCACTTTCCTGAATGACCAGAAAAGGGTTGCACTGATGAAAAGAATCATCGGGCCCTATCAAGGCCTTTCAATAGATATCCTGCTAACAACACATGTTTTGAAAGTTTGGTGGGTGCGAAGGGAGGGGAGGGAGGGAGGGAGGGAGGTGTTTCAACAACAGGGGGAAGCGATTGCATGGAAAGATCTAAGGGATCCGTTGGCTGGTGCTGGAGCGGTTGAGCAAGCACTTTATTTAATTAGTATGCACACTTTGCGCAGCGGGCAAGGGGGTGCTCAAAGTTTTTCAGAATGATTGGACCGGATTCAACCAGATCATGTGGTGCCTGGAAGCAGCGTGTGAGAGCCTCGCATGGTCTTGCGGCGAAGCTTCAGGATAACAAAAAAAAACATCAGTCTTCTTTCCTGGCATTTGTCTTGCTGGCTTGTACTACAACTTAAACTCTCTTTTGGGACCTGGACTTTGGCATTCAGGGTTGCGAACAAATATACGTACATGTACTTGTATATATATATATACATGCATTCACATAGAGAAAGAGAGATAAGTGTGTACATCAAAAAATCAAAACAATCATAACCACCCCCTGGAAAGCCCAAAGAATGAACTAGCCACACGATTATTCACAACTGCGGGGTGGCCTGATCGAAGAGATCTTGTCTCATTGCAGCGCTCGTGGGCACATGCCTCATGTGCCCAAACTGAAGTTCTGCCCTCTTGACAACTGTCTGACAGGCGCCGTCAGCTTGTTCATCCCTCTGCAGCGAGCTGCACTGACTAAGCCTTCGAAAAAACAATGCAGCTGCGTGAAACGGTGGTGTGTCCTTCGATCAACAAGAAAACTGCTCAATGCAGAAACTCAAGGCAACGGATGCAAGCTGGCAACTATTGCTCAAGGAGCCCTTCACAACATCATTCATCGCTGAAAGACCACGGCTTATCTGCCGAGCAGCTTGGCTCGCCCTGTAGCGAATCGCTCGTTGCCGTCCCGCAAGCGTTGTAAAGCCTGTGACGACAGGGTCTGCCGGTATCTGGGGGAATTACGCCTGCAAAGCTCTGAGGACATGCGGCTCCAGAAGCTCAGTCGGGTGTTGGTGGGCAGGGGTTAAGCCTTGCTGAATCAGCTTCTGAACAGAAGCTTTCTCAAACTGCTGCACGGGGTGGTGCAGCAGCCTGATGGCTGGTGGCGCCCTGGAAGGGCTTCGATTTGGGGATGAAATCCTTCGGGGTCCTTTTTAGATCCCTTTTCAGCCAATCGAGGTGATCACGGCATGTTGAGGATTTAGCACGCTTCCCACCGCAAGCGCCAGAGCATGTGCACACGCCACTAATAATTCGTACGATCTTTTTCGGCAACTCAAAAGCTTTCTACACGCCTCGGCATATGAAGCCTGCGACAGCCTTTGAATACACCAACAACCACTTTAACGAGATGTTGCACTGTGGAGAAGTGTACAAAGAAGTGCGTATAGTACTCACCACGCAGTTTCATCCACAGTCTTCAGGGGACATATCTGCAGTCATCTCATGAAGCTTAGCGCCTCCCCTGGGTTCAGCGGGCCGTCTGCGGCGGTGCGTATGCGCGTCCGTCGACCATTTTCCACACGTCGCAGAAAGGCTGCGCAGCAGGTCTCGCTCATGGCGATCTAAGATCTTAAAGTCAAATCTCCTGCAAGAGTCATGAGCAAGCAACCTAAGGCCTACAAACCAAGAACCATCCAAACATAGCCAAAAGCAAAAACCCATGCCTATGTGAATTTGTCAGTGCTTGGATTGCCGGCAACCAGTGCTCTATGCGAAAGTTTGTCGTCTCAGTAGTGTAACCTCTTGGCCAAAACCATGACCGCTGACAACAAACATCTGTGCAGCGGCAGAGGCTAGCCGCACCACCAAATCCAATTGGAACATAACTTGGTAGAGCTGCAATCCTAACAACACCTCTGTTGAGCAACTGCAAGAGCGGGCGGGATGCTGCATTTTGTAGTGTAGCTGTGGAAGTCTCACAACAGTTCAAACATCAGATAACATCAGCAAAGGCTCCTCTTAATATGACCGTCGGATTTTTGGTATGGTCCTCCAGCACCGCACAGAACACACAGCAAAATCCTTTGGCTTTCAACTACAAGCAACCCAAGCCCTACAAAGCCTAGCAACAAGCCCAAAGCCAAGGACCCAGCCCATCCGGGCGCAGTTCCAGACTCTCGGCCTGACAAACCGACGGACCGTGCAAAATGCGGAACGCGCAGAAGATGACTCTGAAGCTTGGGATAGGAAGGGTTGATGCTCAAGGATTGGAGATTTTAGTTGGAGCCGTAGAACTGCCCGGCCCAAAGCATGTTGTGAAGACATGGCCTTCAGATGTCGTGGACTCACAGTTTTGGGTCTTACCTGACACATTGGTCTCAAAGTCCGAAAATGTCCAGGTTTGGGGGGTCTGCACCTCAAGTCTGTGTTGCATTGTGAGTGGTCATGCGGTACAAAACGCTTCTTGGGCTGCATGGCCTCGAAAAGACAGGATGCATGCTTCTTGAAAAAGGGCAGGAATGTCGGGATTTGGGCTACCGGTTTTTGGCCCAAACATTGAGGTGACATCGGATTCAGCCTGTTACTCTATGGCTTGAATCCCACACTCAGTTCAGAAGTCCGTCGACACAACCATGGGTTCTTAATTCACTCAAGCCAGGACAGGCCTCAGGAAGACGCAGAGTGGGCATGCGGGGCCTGGCAACTGAGAGATCTCAGAGGTGCGTGCAGCTGCCCCAAAAACTGACACGTCTGTCCGCGCTTGACCCCACTGCGCACGAATGTATTCCAAGGTACCGAGACCGCGCACGAGCCCGTGCACGCAAAAGTGCGGGAGACGCTATCCCAGCCTGTTGTCATCTGCGTTGGCCTTGGTGCTTGCCACCAGGGCCACCGAGCATGCTTCCAAGGAATGTCGCCCTTTTTTTCGCACACGATAAACATGACACCCGAAGGAGGTCATCGCGTCCTGCAAACCAGACATAGTTGCCGCAGGATCAGATCTTGCATCCCAAAGTCCACACCGACAGCAAGACCGCCTATGCAAAGATTGTAAAGTGAGGTGGATGTTTTCTGGAGAAGAGGACTGCTCCTAAAGGCTGGGCTTGCCACCACCGCCCCCCCACGAGCACCACCGCCGCCAGCGCCATCGCCACCAGCACCGGCAGCGGCACCGGCACTGCCACGAAGACAACGACGGAGACGCCGAAGAACACCTCTAGCCCCCTTTGACTCAAACAACATCACACGATCACGACGACGACTACGACGACTGCCTGCTACCGATACTCGCTGCCAGATTCTCCTGAATCTACTACACAGGTTGCCGTTAGCATAAGCTTGAAAGGATATTCTTAGAAATCAGCCAGCCCAAGCGCGAAGCGGCACGCAATCAGCTGCACTGTATGAAGCTCAGGTCCGCTTGTCTCGAATTTCTCATAGGTTCAACCAATGCATGACCTTTATCACTTTTGCACTTGTTCGTTTCTTGGTGGAAAATGAGCTCACGCTGCCAGTGTGAACTTCGCACTTGCCGATACTATTGTGATGCTGCTACTACTTCTATTGCTATGTACCAATACTGCTGCTGCTGCTCCTCCTGCTACTTGCTGCTACTATCAACTATCATTGGTTTGTACATCCTGCGCAGTTCAACGAAACAAGCGGTGGCATGTTGAATTTGCAAGCGGTTCTGAGGCTCTATGAAAAAAGACGGACCGAAGTACTGCATGTGGTGACCACCACGATTCAAAAGTCCTAAGAAGGATATGTCTGCCCATGACTTGGCCAGCTGCTGGCGGACGCTCTGGTGGCATGAACCTGCCGGATGTAGAAAACAAATTGCTGTGAGTGAGGAAGGGCACCTGGCTACACGTCCCTTGTAAGCATCAGCTCGAGGCCGCAAAACAATCCAATCTCGCCATCATTTTTGCATTATTCCGACTGTGTGGCGGGGCATGCATCCCGCAGTTGCACAGAAGACTGTCTGGATGCTTGCCTCAATTGCAGCCTCTGCTGCTGCTGGTCAATGCAAGAGGCCTGGAGAAGCAGTGCTCATTTTCAACTGCTAAGCGCGACCTGTCTCTCCCTACCTGCCTGCCTGCTTGCCTGTTAAGGCTGCACCCCAAGCCACCACAGGAGTCAGTCCCCGAGTAAACAAGAGGATGCCGCCAAGTCAGGAGTACTTAGACTACACTCACCAGTGCCCAGGAAAAATCAATGAACAGCATCCCGGCTCTCTTTTGCTTTGCAGTGGAGGGATGACGTCAACTGTCTCTCCCTCCCTCCCTCTCACATCTTTAAGCTTTAGGCTTTAGGCGAGGCTGAGAGTCGCCTCGCGTGCAAGCTCACACCCTGCTCGTTCGGTTCGTCAGGTCGAGAGGTCATTGCTTAGTGAAACAGAAAGCTCAAAAATGTTGTAAGCTCTCATCTCTCTGTCCAGGGAACGGATTTGACGCAGGATGACCTGGCCCCTTCCGAATCGCAATTACCGGCATGACGAACCAGTTGACGGTAGCTGTCGGTAGATGACGGTAGTGAAAAGGCGCCAACATCTAGGAACGGAGGTCCAAACACGCCGTGCCATGCAGCCCAATGGACCTTCCCACGCAAGCCTCCCTGCACATTTCCCATACTTGATCCAAGAAATAAACCCTGCCAGGGTCAACGAATGAATCTCAACCTCAGGCGAACGCCGTCACAGAATCATCGCTCGCAGTCTTCGGCGACATCCTGCATCGTCAGTTTTGGAGATGGGGGCTTCTTGGGTGACTTTTTTGCAGGTGTTTAGAGCCCAGGGCACAAGCGTGAGGACTTTGAATGTGGGCTGGAAGCTTACTGGCCCACGTTTGACGGCGTAGCTGATCCATGGGACTGCCTGTATGCATTGAAGGCCCGTGATCACGCCTAAGCAAGTCTTTGGAACCGTTTGAAGGATTTCAAAGGCGTCTTGCGTTCGCAGCTGCCACACTCACACCCAGCTGGCCGTTCAAGCAAGACTTGCATAAGCCATTGCCACCCTCACCTGGAACCTTTGTCAGCGATAGTACTCAGTGGAGAACATACCAAACAGCATCTAAGGGGCCTCAACACGCTCGGAACTCCCCACAGCCTGTGATGCTGGGCACCCGACTCTGGAGTTGTCAGGGGTGAGTTGTTAGGCCGTTGCGGCAAAGGCGTCCTCATCACCTTGAGCGGCTGACTGCTACAGGAAGCATGTGCAAATCAAGGCTCTGGCACCGGGCAAGGGCTAAGAACTTAAGAACCTTGGCAGATAGACCTGCCGCCACTGCCATGAAAATTCATGCTTATAGAACATCGATGAGACGTGAATGATCATATGCCTGCAGTCGTCCCATCACGACGAGATGTCGGCAGCGCCATCTGTTTTGGCTGGCTGCGACCAGTTTTCGACGGCTGGAGTTGCAACCATTCATTCGAAAACGAATTTGGATGAGGAAAAGGTCAACCGTTTCCGCGTTCTGGACATGGACAGACTTGGTTTGGCTCATGCGGATTCGTCACGCACTGAAGGTCGCGTTGAAGTCAAGAGGAGAAACACGGAGAACATGGCAAGGTCGGCGGTCGCTTGTCCCACCTGCCTGGAGCTCCCAAACCACCTTTCGAACCTGGCCACCTTGAACTCCAAATACCAAGATTCTGTCAACATGCCCAAGCCCCCAACTGAAGTCAGGCTTTCAACCTGGTCAAGTAATGTACATGCAACTATGCTTTGTTTTTGTTGTTGTTCTTCTTCTCACTGCTCTAACCCCCCCAAAAGGGAAGGGTCGGGGCAACGCCCCAAGCAGGCACGCTTGGTGCAAATCCACGCACCGCACCAGGCCACGACTATGGAGCATATGCAGGCACACGAAGATAACAAGGCACTAAAGCTACCAGCCCAGCTCTGTCGGCTGTCAAACCCCAGCCACCGCAGCCACAAGCCGTGTCTCGTCATTGTCGGGGACCATGTAAACCCTCGTGAAATACAACGAGTGGATAGATCCAGAGGGCCAATTCCAAAACCCTCATACTGATGCTTTCGCATCGCACTCATCTTTAACTCCCAAAATAGCTCACATGCAAAAAACAGGTCCCACAGCCACACACCCTCTATTCTTTGCCAGACTAAATTGACTAGAACTTCCATCCACCTGCAACCATCAAGCTCTCCAGACTCCGGACGCACATCTACTAAATCTTGTGCGTGTCCTGGTCACCAATCTCGAGCCCTTAACCCAAACATTGCGGGCTTGGGACACAGGGATGGCTTTGCAACTTTGGACAACCACCGCTGTTGCACTTGAGAACCACACACAGAACATGCGCCACGTTGAGTTCGGGGCAGCACGGGGTGCCAAAGGCGGCGTTCGGGGCGATCGCCTTCGGGGCAACTCTTGAGCATGGTACGCTTTCACACCCTCGTCAGAAAACGCAACGAAAGTCAGTAAACCCCAGGAACCCCAAATCTGAACCTCGCGCACACCAAGAGTTGGCAAACTGCATCCCTTCATCAATTTTCATGAGCATGCAAGCTTCCCATCTCACCTCTCAAGGGTGACAGTGACGTAATTGCAGTTCTACTTGCTAGCGCTCAGAGCCACCGTCTGTTTGATCATGCTATCATGTTACGTTTAAGACAAAGCCGCGACAGGCCCCGCGCCCTCGAGCAGACTGGGCAGCGGCGGCAGCGACTGCTCTGAGAGGTGAGCCTGGTGATCCTGAAGCAACAAAAGGCTTCTGAGATGCAGTAGAGATGCAGGAGACCTGGCTGGAAATCAACATCTGCAAGTCTTTAGGTCCTCATACTTTGAGAAGATTCTACTATGAAATCCAGCCCCAGGTCTCATCGAAGTGGAGAAAGGGGCTGGTGCCCTTCAACGCCTCCTTGAAGCTGCAGAACCGAATCTTTGCACCAGTTTGAACCTCAACCTTCTGGACATGTTCGATGTAGAACCTTCACTCGATCATACTTTCTAGGATCTGCAAATGCCTGGCTCTTGCTTGGGCGACTCGCTCGGAGCGTCAGAGCCACTGGACTCCTGTCAGTCAAGCGCATCCCATGAAAGATTGCACGCATGAAAGGACAAGAATCACAGCAAGAAGCAACATAACAGTGCATTTTGCATCTCCAGGGTGCATTCGATGCATGCTGCTCTCCATACAGAATCTGGAAGCTGGGCTCAACAAAGCTCTCCAATCCCAGCAGCACCCTATTTTCATGCCAGCTCCTGGTCATGTTACATTGCTAGAATCTAGACTCTTTAGCAAGCAACCGCCCAGTCTGCGACAGCACAAACGCACAAAGATTCCTCACATGTACATATCCCAGAAACGTTTTCGCATGTCTGTTTATGCACGGTAGGTCAACACAGGAAAAACCTGTCACTACGGAGCGGTTTATCAACAGCCTCCTCGTCACTCTTCTCGAAGGTCACGGAAAGCCTTGGCTCAAGGCTTAGGGCCAAACCTCTGTGTCCTACTGGCAGCCGATCAGCTTCGACAAGAGGAATTCAAGTTCTTTGTCTTGCTTGCTTACTAACCCTCGATCCGCCCGCGAACTGTAGGCAGAAAACATCTAACCCCAATCGCCATGCAAAGTCTAACCTCAACGAGACCCATGATTGAAACTACTGGCAAGAACAGCTAAAGTCCGCAACCGTCTGTAATATGAAACCATCGAAATAATCTGCCTATGCCTGCCTTGTCTGGGTCCACGGCTGGTCCGTCCGGATCATCTGAAGATGGAGGGGAGGAATGCCAAAGGGAGGGGTGCCTGACAGGACAGGTAGTCTGGCCATGCTGGTGCCTGAAAGTTTCGGAATGCAGGCCTCTGCAAATTCTTCACATCATGTTCATCACTGATGCATTGGACCCAGACCCGGAAGCATGGAGGTGCAATCTTGACATGTGATTGAGTGACAGAAGCTTGTTTCTCATGAGCTCTTGATTGTTGCCGCTGCGTTGCTTCCCACAAAGCTTGAAAAAAGTAAGCAGAGCACCAAGAACAGTCCTAGTATCAACCCACTTTGCATCAGCACCAAGCACTAAAATCAAGTTCAAGTTCGAATCCTGCGTAGGAACGAGGGAACCAATATCATGCACCATGTGCAGTCAGTCAGTCTTCTCAACGATTAACAACCCGTAAATGTGCTTTAACACGATCTTCACACCTGCTCCTAGAAAGTTGTTCCCTGCTTGACAAAGTAGTTCCCCGGTCTTGGGTGTGAAATCGAAGCCACGAACCCTTTTATATAGCAACCTTCTGTCCAGCTTCCCATCCAACAAGCTGCATTGCACATGAGACCGGCTCACACGCACAAACGGCGCAAACATGAATCCCACCCGCTCGCGCGCAGCTGCCCAGGGGCTGGATTGCTGCGCAGGGAGTGTCCTGCAAGGTATCTGCACAGCAAATAACTCAAATGCCAAACAGAACTTGTAAATGTGCGTGTGTTGCTTTGGAAAATTTACCTTCTCTGCGTGACAGGCTGCCTCATAAACTGTACTGTCCGCCCATGCAGCTTGATCGGGTCCCTTAGTTATATTGACAATCTTTCTGGATGCCTGTATCACATTGAAGCGTTGTCTACTGGGACGTTGTGGGAACTGTGCTGCTGTGGTCTCTGTAAGGGTGGGTCCAGTCACACGGCATCTACATTAATGAGGTTCCTCGGAGAATCACTGCGGACAACCCAAGGGTCTTTGGTTCTCTGCACGAGCAGCTCGAAGGACGCCCTAGGAACATGTGGACGGCTGAAAAGTAGAGCAGCTCCAAAGAACTGCTGTCGAACTGACCACGAATCATTATCCTTGACCTAACACGTGCCCAGTACCACACAACATTACCTGCGACCTGGGTCTGCATCCTGCATCAGGAGAGCTCAAGGAATTGCACGGAGCCTGTGGAAACATGTCACCAACCTGTCCAACAGGCAAGCTTGCCTCCAGCTCCACAATGGCAGGGCTGGTGTCGTAGTGCGTGCTGTGCTCGACCAACTCGTCTGCGGCCTCAGAGTCTGCAAAACTTTCAGACTCTTGGATCCAGGCTCAGAAACCACGGAATTCAGGGTCATGTAACAGCACAAGGCTTTTGCGTGCCGAGGCCCACAGAATAGTCACCACATATGCCGACATACGCCACCGTTCTCTGAATGCCAAAAAAATACTTGTCGCGGCCCTGATCATCTCATATGCCGCATATGCCATTACCCAATGCTTTGATGTACTTAAAACGCGCAGGGAAGATCAGAGTCGACTGCGTGTCTTCCAAGCAGAGCGCTCTTTTGCCCATTCTTGGCCCGAATGGACCCTTTGCTGGACTAGAATTTTCTTGAAGAATTTCGAATGCTGTGGTGTTGAGGCTTCGGGTATCAATTCGAAACGCTTTCTTCGAAGAGTCTGATCTGAGCTTTTGCAGGAGCAGTCAAGCCCCTGCAAACTCAATCCTGCCTATGGAACTAGGCTTTCTTGGGTGACCTCCTTAAGCCGGACTTCCTTAGTGCTCAAATGCTGAGGCCTCTTTCTTTGGGGTAGGGAGGATGGAATTTCATTTTGAACGTGTTTTGGTGATGGCTCGCCTGGGTGCACGGCACTCTGCACATCGTCTCGGATCCTCTGCAGCATCTCGTTGAGCGAGCCAAGCCTGGACTAGGACGCCAAAGCTCCCCTTGGGCAGATGGCGCAGCTATGCGCGGTTCAGTTTGGGGACCCTTCTTGAAGATGTTGGTGAACTTTTGTTAGGAGTTGTTACTACCGTCTTGTCGCTGCCCAATCGGGCCCAACCCATGGCATCTATAAAGGTCAATAACCGTCCTTGCGGTTGCCACGATGACTAGATACCGTGTGTCACCTAGGCGCTCGACACTAGGAGCTTGCAGAGCACGTACCGATGTCTTAGCCTTCTGTCTCCGACAACATTTTGGCTCATGATGCTGTGTCCTGAATAATAACAGGACAACATGGTAAACAAAGTGAAGCCATGGGGACCCCTTCGAGGGTGGGGGTATGTGGGGGGTCCCGGAAATAGGCGGCCCGCCTATTTCCATGTTTTCCATATCATTGAAAGTGCCGGGGGTCTCTTCACCACATTGCCATGAGAGAGTTGGCACAACATAGCAAATCGGGGTCATGCTCTGCAAAGCCTTCAACCATCCTATCAAGCCCAAATGGCCCTGCAACAGAAAACAATCAGGACACATCACAAGATTCAAGTCTCCGTCATGCTCAATCGTGCTCAGCTTATTGTGATAGCACATGTCTGTCTGCGCAAGCCTAGCTGACCTTGAAACTGAGGATTCCCGCCTATTTTTCCTACCCCCACCCCACATTGGTAAAATAGGCAGGGAAATAGGCGGCGCCCATAGTGACATACCCCCCCCCAACCGCGTATGTCGAGGGGTTCCTTATGTGAAGCCTTTTGGCAACAAAATATGGCAAAAGTGCAGGCCCATGCAAGCCATGTGTTTGGAGTTGAGCTCCCCGCGACACGTTCGCAGCTTCGCGCCTTGTTGCATGCTCGCACTGCGCTCACTCTAGACTCTAGCTTTGATGTTGATTGAGCGTTACGGATGTTGTTTGCTCGGGTTGAGAGCGAGTAGCGCCATAGATGCGCAGAAAAGAGGATTGATTGCAGTTGTGTTTATTTCTGTTGCCGATGCTTCAGCATGATGCTGTCTAGTCACTACTCACTAGGTTCTGGCACATGCTGGAGAAACCAACGGGCGACCTGTCTGCTGGCGCTCATGAAACCCTTGACATATGAGCGCGCAGATGTTCAGAGACCTTCACCAGAGATAGACTCACGCTCAGACAAAGGCAGGTTTGCCAGCTCTGAGTGTAGAGTCGCGGAAAAGGTTGGATCTTCCTGCAATTAGCAGGAGGACAAGCTCTAGGCTGCAGCATCAATTCAACAGGGCCTTCATCACACCACATGGCATGTATACCCACTCCAAAGCGAGCTGACGACCGCAGTCCTGCGCGCAGCCAGCGCACAAGCAATGGAGCGGGGTGGCACCCCCAACGCCCTTCAGGCCTTGTTGAGATCAAGATCTTCAAGGCACATCAACTGGTTAACGGATCGTCATTTGTTAGTTTTCCCGGTGGTGTCCCAAGGTTCTCAGGTCCTCAGGTTTCTGGGGCTGTTTCTGGATACCAGGTTATGTCTGCGCTTCGCATGCATCATGGACACTGGATATTGCATGGCAAGAGACTTGAACACCCCAAGACCCCTCTACTCATGATGGCTTCACGGGGAAGAGCTAGGATTCAGTTTGATCTTGCCAGCTGACCCCACAAGTACTCCAGTGCAAATGATGTCTGGCTTCACAATCCTGATTAACACCTGAATCGGGAACTTTGCACATTGCCCATGATGCACGACCTTTCGCAGACCACAGCCTGGTACTTACTGACCCTTCCAGTTACGCTGCTTTCACACTCTCACTTCTTCCCACAAGCTGGTATGGAAAGCTGGCCGCGGGAATTTGAAAAGTCTTGACCCTCCAGGACCACCGCAAGAAGATGATCACCTCGTATACCCCAGAACTCTACATCCTCGAGTTCAGGATGGGTTCAATTTCAGCTTCGTTTGGGGCCGCCGCTCCGCAGCTGGATGAAAGCGTCCAGGGCAAAGCCGGCTCCTGAAACTGCTACAAGTGACATAGCGCGCAGACTGGAGCTTCCTTGACCGGCAACATTCAACAAGTTGTCCAACTCCGTATTTGCCACATTCCCTTCAGAAAACCTACAGAGTCAAGAGACGCGGATGGCCTCTTGCCTGATAGCCCTGCAAATCTTGTCTGGGCTGTTGAGTCCTGGATCCCCGTTGATGTAATTCCCGACACGCAAGGCCTCCTGCAGGAGGACCTGCAACTTCTCCGACTTCCTGAGAGCTCCCACGAAATGGGCCACCTAGACAAATACCTTACCTTTTTGGCTCGAGATCCAGTCACAGCACCAAGCTGAGAAAGACCGGTCTGAAAACTCCTAAACTCTTTGTCCAGGCTCATGAGCTCGTCGCAGGCTGTCTGCAATGTGGCGATACGTTCGAAGATTATGGTCAGAGAGTCCAGGGACCTGGCAAAGGGTCTGGCACAAACAGACGCAACCTCACTACAAGGTGGAGGAACCGTCTTGAAGAATGACACCAGATTGGGGCGCACACCTAATAACTAGGATCCCTGTGCCCTGCAAGGGCAAACCCTTCAGGTCTCTGTTGTATCTCTGCCGTACACTCTTTGGCACAATTTTCCAACTAGACTTTATTGGTTCCTGGTTCCCCAACATGTTGGAGCCACCGGGAGAGGCGGAGGAGCTTCAGCCGCGCTTCACTGCGTGGCACAGCCGCCACCTGAGGTTCTCACAACGGTGACACATGCCCGCACTGTAACTTGCATGCCCTCCAAAACGCAGCCAGCAACTAGCCACCAGAAAAAAAAAATCACTGGTGTCGCCGTCCCGCCTGGCGAATGCACTGCTCAACGTCCCGCAATTCCTCGGCTGGCCCCGTGTGCTTTGCGACCTGCCGGAAGTCGATGTCCGTTGGCCAAGCCTTCAGCAACCCTTCGATCTCTTCTTCCGACAGCGGAATGGAGAAGTCCAAGGTCTATTCAGGGGCCAAGGATGCAGAGGATGCATGAATCATGGTTTACGGATTTAATAGGACTAGGGCACAAAAGGGGGAATGGCGCCTGAAGCGCGGAGCAGAGCTTCTGCAGCGGCAGTGGAGATCGACGGAAGGCAATCGCAAGTTGCTGGGCACGGTTCCTAGGCTGTAAAGCAACACGGCAGCTTGGTTGACAGCTTGGTTGACAGGACAGATCGGACCTATTCACTTGTGGCCTTGCCTGCTATCCTCAACAAGCTACGCCTGCTGAACTTCAATTTAGGCCAGGGTCCGGTCAAGAAGACAGACCCCGGAGCTCTTGGGGATGAATGCAGAGGACCGAGCAGTCTGCTGCACGACAGAAGACCCCAACACCTTGGCAGATCTTGGGAGCGCTTTGGGGTTTGGGGCACTGAAGCCTCCAGCTCAGCGCTCAGCTGCTCTGAACCCATAGCTTGGCCACAAAAACAACCCAAAGGCAAATAATGCAAGCCCTGCAACATCCTGCAACCCAGCTCCCCAGAAGGTTTAAGCCCTCACAGCCAGTCAAAAAAACTATGATGGGCTCATGTTTGTTCAATGTTGTTTTCAGCCCACGCCTCGTGCAGCATCTTCTGGGCCTCGCTGTAGGGCCCTTTAAGGTCCTGTGGCTTGGGATGCGTTAGGCTTTGGGGGGCGAGGATTCGGAAGCTGAAACGAAGCTACGAGGTCTGAAGCGTGTTCGAACTATGGTACAATTGATCCAAGGATATGCCAGCTTGAGATCTCAAGACTTTTGCCAACACACACGAGGACAGGGGAAACCCCACGACCCTCAAGAAACAAGCAGTACGCTTCTGGATCTGGGCATTTTTTTATGCCCAGGATGTCCAGGCCATCAAAGACCGTGCCCGACTGGTCCGAGATGGATTTCCAGCGAATGCGCCGAGTTCCGAACCTGAGCTCGTCTATACCGTTCCGGTTTTAAGCTACAGAGATCTTCAAGATGTTCAAAAGTCTGACGTGGGCAGATTTGGATTGCGAGCTCCTTCATTTGCCCAACTGCCATATGGCATCTATATATATATATATACATAAATGCTTCGTAGAAAAGAGGTCACGGGAGGTTGTGAGGCTGAGCATCGTAAGAATGAGCAAGCATGAAACGAATCTGGAAGCCGATAATAAAGAGTCGTTTTGCTGTCTCGGCCATCAATGCACCCAACAGATTTGGAAAGACACTCCTCGTTTTTCGCAGCATCTGCAGAAAAGCACAAGCCAGCTTCTCGACAATTCGGTCAAAACACAGGTGTTCAGCTTTCTTACGTGCCTCTAATTGATTGTTAGAAATAACGTTGAGTTCTGTACGGGAG